TCTTCACAAGTGTTCTCCAGAGGTCGCATTTGCCCTGCTGTTTTCTGTCCAGGTGCGTCTAGGCTGTAGGTGGCTGTTCAACCTTCGTAGGTCCTAGCAGTCCAGTAGCTCGATAGTGAGTCTACAAAAAGTCGAAGCGGGATTTGGAACCGGTCTTTTAGTTGCTTTTCTCTTCACGAGTGTTCTCCAGAGGTCGCATTCGCCGTGCTGCGCTATTTCGAGCAGCACTGGGCATCCTCACGAGACGAGTTGCTGGCGGCCATAGCTGGGGCCGCGCAGCCTCCTTGGCAGCCGGGCTTCAGGCCCTGAGCGCTGCGCTTCCTCCTTTTAATGTGATGTTAGGGCTTGAATAGCTGCCAGCAGAGCAGCCTCTCTACAAGTTGCCTTCTAAGTGGCAGGTCTTGATCTTCATCGTGTTGTTGTTCTCCTTTTCTTCATCCTGGGAGGTGCGCTCCCCTGTTGAGTGGACACCTCATCTGCAGCTAGGGGTTGGAGTCCTGTAAGATCGTTTCTGTTTGGACACAGGAGGGTTGTGTGGTGTTTGCCGGCTTGACAGGTTGGGCGCTGTAAGTGGAAGTGGCGCCATAGCTAGAGATTGGGGATCGAGGGAGGAAGAAGAAGACTCCTTGATAATTCGATGAAACTTTGTAAATAATTGGGCCGTGGGTGTTGATACCGTTGTTGGGATTCTTAGAAACAGGTGCTGTTGATTGACTTGGGGAGAGACGGTGACTAGAATTGGTTTTCAACTCAATTCTATTTTGATAATTGTCTGATTCCTCTGTGTATTCTCATCATCTGGTGTGGTGTGGATTGCTCATTGCTCTCCCCAAAGGTCACTTGTCATTGCACATGTGTACGGGAACGTGTGGATGCCATGCTGGATCTTTTTCAATCAGGCACAACACAATTGTAAAATGGGAAACAATGAAGGCCTCAAAACTGTTAGCATCCATAGATTCCATACCACAAGCAGATAAATTCTATATTATATTATTATCCTGCTTCACATTGATCAAAATTTGAAACAATGAAAAGTTGAAAACCCCCCCTTTGACTTGGTGACTAGCGCCGCAAGGGCAAGGTTGGGCTCTTTCGCGTCTCCTTCTTTCTTGACTGAGTCATGCTTGCCAGTAATAAGTAACCGGACTG